GGTCTCCTCAGGAAACCAGTGGGAAAAGCAAGGCCAAGGAGCAAAGGGAGAGGCAGCAGATTCCCAGGAGGAAGGGCGGGCAGGAGGCAGAAGTCAGTGCCCTGAGAACCTGGTGGGAATGTGAAGGAAATAACCTTGAAAACGACTAATCCCAGCGCAGATTCGTTAGCAGGAGAGCTGGTGTGGGCTCTGACTTCCCGGGCGCCTGCCACCTCCCTTTCTGGTGTCTGCTCTGGAGCTAGGTGGTCTCCGGAAGGGTCTGGGCTGTGACAGACTCTGCTGGGAGGGGGGCGGGGCGGGGGGGGGCTTTCATCCAGGCCACGGTGCTCCCGGAGCGCGGAGCCAGCGTCTCGGTGGCATCGTGTAAAGTCCGCACCGCTGGCAGGAATTCCCGAAAGTGCAACTTTGTGCCTAGTACCCTGGGAGGGGCCGCGGGGCCCTGGGAGGGCGGGCTGGCCGGGCTGCCATCTGCCGAGCACCTGCCTCTTGAGTGACACTGACTGGCGCCCAGCAGCAGCCTGAACCGCTGCACGACCCCCTGGACGGCGCATCGGAGGGGCGAGAGCGGCGAGGCGGGAAGATGACCCGGGGAAAAGGACGTGCCCGGGGATGGCGGCCGCGTCGTGAAGCAGAAACGGCGTCCTGTTAAACAGGGGCTGCCCGTCGGCTGAGGGCTCGCTTTGGCTAACGCTTTTGCACAAGTGCAGCTCAGCTCTAGGGGAGCTGGAAGTTCCCGGTTTAGCATCCTCGAGGGACGTCCTTAAACATCTGACCGCCGGGTCCCAGGACGGGGCGCTCACGAGTTCGGGGAGGCCGCGTCCCGGGCGGGGTCCGGCGCGGGGGCAGGTCCGGCTCCCGCGCGTCGGCGGTTTGCACCCAGGGGCCTCGCTCTCCCCTCGACGGTGCTACCGACCGGAGCCGGCCTCCTTTCCCTCCTCCGAGTCCGAGCTGCGGGCGGACGCGGCCAGCGCCGGGCAGCGTTCCAGGCGCGAGGGGCCGGGAGGCGTGCGCGGCGCTCGGAGGCGCTGGGCAGGGACAGGGAGCGGCGGCTCCTTTGTGGGCCGGTCCCTCCCCCGCGCGGGGGCAGCGCGGGGACATTTGATCTGCGGGGTGATTGATAAGTGCGGGAGAGGGGCCGCCGGCCCTCCCTCCTCCTCCTCCTCCCGCCTCCTCCCGCTCTTCCCCCCGCCTCCCCCCGGCTCCCTCCCTCCTTCCTGCCAGAAGCGCTGCCCGCCGGCGAGCCGCTCCAGTGGGGAATCTGCCTGCCCCGGGGGCGCCGCCCGCGCTGCCGCCGAGCCCTCGCTGCCCGGCCGCGCCGCTGCCAGGCTGTGCCGGCTCCCGCGCCTCTCCGCGTCGCGGCGGCTGCGGGCGCCTGCGGGCGACGATCGGGCGGCGCGCCGGCCGGGTAAGTTCCGTGCGCTCCCGCGCGCCGGGGCGCCGCGAACTGGCGGTCCCCGGCCCCGGCGCCCCGACCGCCTCCCCCAGCCCGGGGCCCGGGCGTGGGCCGCTCCGGCGCCCTCCGCGCTCCCTCCCCCGCCGGGGCGCCCTCGCCCGGGACCGTCCGCGCGGGCGTGGTCGGGCCCCGGGCGTCGCGCAGCCCTGAGGTCCCGGCCGCCGTGGGCGGCCCGCTGGGCCCAGGTCCCCGGCGAGGGCTGCGCGACCGGCCGTCGCGGCGCCGGGCCCCGCGCGTCTAGCTGGGGGGATCCGGGTGACCCGGGACCCGCCGAGCCCCCCGCGTCCTCCCAGAGCCCCGCGGGCACGGCCTCCGCCGGCGATGGGGGGTTGGGGGAGGAAGCGAGCGCGGGCCCTTTGTGGGGCACCCCCCACCCTGCTGCCGGATTCCTCTTAACCCCCTCGTGGCCGGACCGGGAACCCGGGTGGAGGGGGGCTGCGCGCCCGCCCGCACTCACCGCGCGAGGGGCAGCCCGGGCGACCCGAGCCCGCTCTGCTCGGCGCCCTGGGGGGAGACTGAGGCCACTGCAGTCCCCGGTGCAGCCTCCCTTGGCCCAGCGAGGAGCGGGAGCGTTTTTCTGATTTTAGCGCCCGCCTCTGCCTCCCTCGTGCTCGCAGCTCCCCCAGCACCTCTCCTCCGCTCTCCCGAAGCGGGGTGCTGCGGCGGCTCTTCCCCAGGCGCCGGCCCCAGGAAACTTACTGAAAGTGCTTTATCGGGTGTGGGGCTCATTTGCTCCCAGTAACTCTGCTGGGGAGCGAGGCCGCGGAGGCTCCGCGGCTGGCGGGAGCAGAGGAGGGGCCTGAGGGTCTGCCCGCCGGGGTGGGAGGCTACCCGGGAAGCCAGACCCGCCCCACCGTTTAGGGTCCCCGGGGTCTTCCCCGCCCCCGGCCAGCCGAGCGCCGCAGTTCCTCCGCCGTGCGACGTCCAGAATTTCCAAGGCCCCAGCGCCCCCCGCCGCGCCGCCCCTCCCCCCTCTCCGACCTTCCCAGCAAACTAGTCTCTGTCCTTAAGATGCCCTCACAGTGTCATCCGTGTCTTCGGAGACCTGGCCACATGTGAGAACTGGAACCAACATTTGATATTTTACTTTCACATCCAATTTTTCAAAAAGAACACATTTAGGTGCAACACTAGCCCCACTGTTGAAGTCGAGGCAGACAGTTCCCTCTTTCACGCGCAGCAGCAGCAAGCTCTTTGGGAAGCTGCTGGAAGGGGGCACAGCATCCCTGGTTCTGTTTCTAATTTTACACATTCTTGAACTTAAGCAAGTCAGCACTTCCCCGGGTTGAACAGTGTCCTCATCTATGAGGCGCATCTGACTTCACAGGTCTTGTCCAGCTCTCACTTTGGCTTCCGCGTCCATGAATTAGTAACTAATCCAAGTAGGCTGCTTAAACAGATGACGGGAGAAACCATCTCTCTCTAGGAACCATGTATATTTAATGTTCGAAAATATGTGGAAACAAAGGTCCCTTTGCTATGAAAGGGAGCTTTGGAGCCTGCAGCGTCCCTCTGCTTGCATCTAACGCTGGAACCGCAGGAGAACAGGAGGTCATCGCAAGGCTGCCCCTCCCCCTCTGGGGACAGATCCTCTGCACCTCACCCCTTGGCAAAGAGGAGGCAAATTTGAGCCCTAAGAAGGCAAGGCTCTTGCCAACAGCAAGCAACAATTACAGGATGGGGAGGAGCTCATGGTGTCTGGCCCAAGGCTCTTTCCTAAGAATAAGAGGGGGCAAAGGAGAAAGTCCCAGAAAAATTCTGGAGACTTCCAGAGCCACAGGTTGCCTTAGTACCTAAGTCGATGAGCCATCCCAAGCACTTCTTGGACAGGAAAGAGCTTGTTCTGAGGAAACAATCTTAGCACCTGAGCTTAACACAGAAGCAGAGGGAAGAGAGCAGGGGCTATGCAGTCCGCAGCTGGATTTGCTCCTGTCATTGCCGCTGCTCTGCATCTGGCCCAGCATGTTACCTGGTGTGGACTGTCTGCAGCTGGCTGGGGCAGAAGAAGCAAGCCCAGGTGGATTGCAGGACAGGCAGTCTCTTTGGTCAATTTCTTTCCCACGCTCTTTTATGCCTCCTCATTCCCTGCCTCATCTCCCCCATCCCACCAGAGGCGCCCCCTGGCCCTTCTGGGCAGCAGTAGACATTCACATCTTGCAAGGGGACCCACACTGGCAGTCTCCTGCGCTGGGAACCTTAAGATAATTGGAGGAGAAACGAAGGAATGAAGGCCCAACCCAACACTTGGCCCTTAATAATCCGGTGACCCCGATTGCATGGGGAACTGTGAGGGCCTGTAGAGTCACCCCATATCCCCAGTGGGGCAGGGGAGATGCAGAAACAAGTAACATTCGTGGAACAGCAGTGCTAGAGCTGAGCCCAGGTCTCCTGGGTGTCAGGCCAGGGCTCCTGCGTAGCTCTGGGTGTCAGGAGCCAGCCTTCTTCCTAAGTTGCCCCTGCAGCCTGGGGCTGGGGCGCTGACGCCCTTACAGGCTCCTGCTCCCTGCTGAGGCTCCCGCAGTACCTCTCTCAAGCCCACTCTTCTTCCTTGGGGGAGAGAACACGTTTAATTCTCACAATCTGGCTAAATTGAAGCCTCAGGGGGAAGGGTTTTGTTGTTTATCTGCCTCTGTCAGCTAAGGTGGGGCTGGCTCTCAGAATCCAGGCAAGTGTCTGGTGAGTTAGACCCAGAAAGTACTTCTCTTGGCACTGGAGGGAAGCGCTGGATGGAAAGCCTAGATCCCCGGGGAGAAGTCCTGGACCTCCTACACAGACCCAGGGATGGGATGCGCGCACCCCACTCTGCGCAGGGAGAGCAGCTGAGCTCCGGAGACTGGCAGGCTGCTCCAGTCCTGTGGCAAAGAGGAGCCTCCCTTTCTCGCCCCCCCCCCCCCCCCCCCCCGCCACACACACACACACACACACACACACACACACACACACACACACACCACACACCCCACCCCCTTACTGGGAAGATCTGGATCCCAGTTTGAGATTATGGAATGCGACCCCCGCCCCAGGAAGAGCTAGGAGGGAGGGGCCAGAGAAGTCCCGGCCTCTCCAGCCGGGTGCCGGGGCCTCTTGGAGAACCCCTCTCCCCGAAATTCGCCAGCAGCGCGCCGCCCGCGGGGTTAGAGGGGAGCAGTGGAGCATCCACTGCCGCAGCCGGGATTTGAGCTTCGCAAAGCCACTCGCGGGGCGGGCGGCATCTGCCCCTCCCTCCTCCACCCCCGCCCCCCGCGCGCCCTCCAGCCCCGGCCTGCCCCCTCCCCGTGACGTCACCCCAGCCCCGTCCCGGGGAGCCTGCGAAGCCTCTCAAATTCAAACTGCTGGGCGCACTGCTGCCGCTGCCACCCGATTGGAAGCGCGCGCCCGGGCTCAGCCGGCGGGCTCCCCGGCTCCCCGGCCTCCCTGCGCCATCGCGCCCCCGGGTCCGGGTGGGCTCGGGCGCCCGCCGCCGACACCCTCCTCCGCCTCCCCTGCCGCCCGCCCGAGTTCTCCGTTTTGCGCACCCCCTCCCACCCCCAATTCATCCACCGACAGAAAGCGGGGCACCCCCACCCCCACCGCGGGCGGCACCTCCTTTTACCTCGCTCTCCCTCTCTTCCCGAAGATGCCCAAGTGCCGGCGGAGCGCCGCGGAGAGGGGGCCCGTCTCCTCCTGACGCGTGAGTAACCCCCACCCGCGCGGCCCCCGCTCTTCCGCCCTCCCCCCGCCCCCACCGCGCGGCCCCTGATTTTCCCACCCCCTCTTTGCGCAGTTAAAAAAAAAAGTAAAGCAATTTCTGCTTCGAGCCCCAGACGGGCGAGCCGCCCGCGAGCTCTGCGAGCTGCCCCAGGGGAGAAGGACCCGGGCTGGATTTAGTAGGACAACTCGCTCGCTAATGACTCCGCGGCTGGCGGCGACCCGCCGGGAAATCAGGTGCCGGCTTGTGCGTGCGGGGACGCGGGGGTGGGTGGGTGGGTGGGGGAAGGGAGGGGAGAAGAAACCGTTTCTCCAGACGCAGTGCCTTCATTCCGCCGGGGGGCCTGCTCCCCCGGCCGCCCCCCGGCCGGGCCATTTTAATCGGCCTTCCTTGTTTCTTCCTCCCCTGCGCCCTGCTCCGTCCCACCGCCTCCCCCAGGTTTGCCTGCAGGTACCTGAGCTGACACCGACGGTGCCTAAAGATGCTGAGCAGCGTTTGGCTCCTCAGTGTGTTCACCGTGGCCGGGATCCTACAGACCGAGACTCGCAAAACTGCCAAAGACATTTGCAAGCTGCGCTGCCTGTGCGAAGAGAAGGAGAACGTACTGAACATCAACTGCGAAAACAAAGGATTTACAACTGTCAGCCTGCTCCAGCCCCCCCAGTACCGAATCTATCAGCTCTTCCTCAATGGCAACCTCCTGAGCAGACTGTACCCCAACGAGTTTGTCAATTACTCCAACGCGGTGACTCTCCACCTCGGCAACAACGGGCTGCAGGAGATCCGGCCCGGGGCCTTCAGCGGCCTGAAAACCCTCAAGAGGCTGCACCTCAACAACAACAAGCTCGAGGTGCTGCGGGAGGACACGTTCCTGGGCCTGGAGAGCCTGGAGTACCTCCAGGCTGACTACAACTACATCAGTGCCATCGAGGCAGGGGCCTTCAGCAAACTCAACAAGCTCAAAGTGCTCATCCTCAATGACAACCTCCTGCTGTCGCTGCCCAGCAATGTGTTCCGCTTCGTCCTGCTGACCCACTTAGACCTGCGGGGGAACCGGCTCAAAGTCATGCCTTTCGCGGGTGTCCTGGAGCACATCGGGGGGATCATGGAGATTCAGCTGGAGGAAAACCCCTGGAACTGCACTTGCGACCTGCTTCCTCTCAAGGCCTGGCTGGACACCATCACGGTGTTCGTGGGCGAGATCGTCTGCGAGACGCCCTTCCGCCTGCACGGGAAAGACGTGACCCAGCTCACCAGGCAGGACCTCTGTCCCAGGAAAACGGCCGGCGACTCCAGTCAGAGGGGCGGTCACGCAGACACACACGTCCAAAGGCTGTCACCCACCGTGAACCCTGCCCTCAACCCCACCAGGGCACCCAAAGCCAGCCGGCCCCCCAAAATGAGAAACCGCCCCACGCCCCGGGTCACCGTGTCGAAGGACAGGCAGAGCTTCGGCCCGATCATGGTGTACCAGACCAAGTCCCCGGTGCCCCTCACCTGCCCCAGCAGCTGCGTCTGCACCTCTCAGAGCTCTGACAACGGCCTCAACGTCAACTGCCAGGAGAGGAAGTTCACGAATATCTCCGACCTGCAGCCCAGACCCACGAGTCCAAAGAAACTCTACCTGACAGGGAACTATCTCCAAACTGTCTATAAGAACGACCTCTTAGAATACAGTTCTTTGGATCTGTTGCATTTAGGAAATAACAGGATCGCCGTCATCCAGGAAGGTGCCTTCACAAACCTGACCAGTTTACGCAGACTTTACCTGAATGGCAACTACCTTGAAGTGCTGTACCCTTCTATGTTCGAGGGGCTGCAGAGCCTGCAGTATCTCTACTTAGAGTATAATGTCATTAAGGAAATTAAGCCGCTGACCTTTGATGCTTTGATTAACCTCCAGCTACTGTTTCTGAATAACAACCTGCTTCGCTCCCTACCTGATAACATCTTTGGGGGCACGGCCCTCACCAGGCTGAACCTGAGAAACAACCACTTTTCTCACCTGCCCGTGAAAGGGGTTCTGGATCAGCTGCCGGCTTTTATCCAGATCGACCTGCAAGAGAACCCTTGGGACTGCACCTGTGACATCATGGGGCTCAAGGACTGGACAGAGCATGCCAATTCCCCCGTCATCATCAACGAGGTGACCTGTGAGTCTCCAGCGAAGCACGCAGGGGAGATCCTGAAGTTTCTGGGGAGGGAGGCTATCTGTCCAGACAGCCCAAACCTGTCAGACGGAACCCTTTTGTCCGTGAATCACAACACTGACACCCCAGGGGCGCTGAGCGTGTCCCCCAGTTCCTACCCCGAACTACACACGGAAGTTCCCCTTTCTGTCTTAATCTTAGGATTGCTTGTGGTCTTTATCTTATCAGTCTGTTTTGGGGCTGGTTTGTTTGTCTTCGTCCTGAAACGCCGAAAGGGGGTGCCGAGCGTTCCCCGGAGTGCCACCAACTTAGACGTCAGCTCCTTCCAGTTACAGTATGGGTCTTACAACACGGACGCTCAGGACAAAACGGACGGTCACGTCTATAACTATATCCCGCCTCCCGTGGGCCAGATGTGCCAGAACCCCATCTACATGCAGAAGGAAGGAGACCCAGTAGCCTATTACCGGAACCTGCCAGAATTCAGCTATGGCAACCTGGAGGAGAAAAAGGAAGAGCCGGCCCCCCTGGCTTACACCATCAGTGCCACCGAGCTGCTAGAAAAGCAGGCCACACCCCGAGAGCCCGAGCTGCTGTACCAGAATATTGCCGAGCGCGTCAAGGAGCTGCCCAGTGCGGGACTGGTCCACTACAACTTTTGTACCTTACCCAAAAGGCAGTTTGCCCCTTCTTATGAATCTCGACGCCAAAACCAAGACAGAATCAATAAAACCGTTTTATATGGAACTCCCAGGAAATGCTTTGTGGGGCAGTCCAAGCCCGACCACCCTTTACTGCAAGCTAAGCCGCAATCAGAACCAGACTACCTCGAAGTTCTGGAAAAACAAACTGCAATCAGTCAGCTGTGAAGGGAAATCGCTCGCAACCCCCTGGCATCCAAGGATGCTGCTCCTGGCTCCGAACTCTTGGAAGCACTGGTTTGCCTTTGGTTTGATTTGCCTTCTTCCTTTCCCAGTGTCGGGTGGGGGCGACTTTGACGAGGTTTGGGGGACGGGGTGAAGCAATGATATGCTTTCTCGAGTTGCCCTTTAAATTATTTCTCTCTTGCCCTCCCCTCTCCCACCCCACCTCTCGTTCCTTCTCTTCTTAGGAGTCATCCTGGAACGTGAATGTTTCTACAATGCTTTTTTTGTTTTCATATATTGTTTTTGTTCATGGTTTTGTTTCTCTCTCTTCTTTTATTTTTCCAGTGTGGGAATGGAAAGAGGAGATTATAGTGAATGAAGAAAGAGTAAGCAAACTTTTCGAGTGAAAATGGCTAATGAGTGTATTTTGTAGAAGATCTCCAAAGATCTTTTGAGACTATAAATTCTTTTGTAAATAATGATATATGGTATTTCCGTCTTCAGTTACCAAGTATAGCCACTAGGCATCACTTCTTTGTGTTAAAGTGCCTTTGCACTTGAAGTACATTACTTAAATGTTGCTTTTAGCTTTGATAAATTGAACATATTTTAATGTGTTGTATTTTTGAAATTAAAAACACTGTAAAATAGATTGAAATGTCAGCTATATAAAGTCAACGTACAGTTTGCTTGAGTTATACAAACCAGCCTGTCATCAAATGATTCTAGTTCTAGGACTTTATAGATTTAACTGTAAAATATTTCCTCTGGGTTTGTTCTAAGTGATTTTATTTAAGTCAACTAAGGGGACTTAACAGTGGACTAGAGGTAATAAACCACCTCAGTTGGGGTTAGTAATTCATTAATAAAATATATTTAACCCAATACCAGAGTGAATTGAACAATTAATGCCCTCCCGTAAATCATTATTTTACACTAACATGGTCAGTGTTTTAGATTATTTTCCTAATTAAGAGTACATTACACAACTTGTAATATATTTTTTCTGCATTAAATTAGATATTTTTATATATTTAAATGAAAGAGTCTGTATTTCTAACTTTTTAATTGAAATTAATATTTTTTCTGCCTATTGAAACATTTTCTACAAACACACGCCAGTAGAGGCCGCCACACACCTCATTTAATAAAGACATATGAGCCATTCAGTACCTTGGAGGAAGACTTCGGACGTGAGCTTACAAAACTTCCCAAGTAAATTCTCTGCAGATTCAAGGCAGTGGAGCCAAATGTATACATTGCCATTTCTTTTTAGGATTAAGGAGTAGACTTCAAATTCTTGTCAGTTTTCACATTTTCAGAGGAAGTAGTGTTTTCCTCTTGTTTTTCTTGAAGTGTTAACAACGGGGTGCTATCAAACACGTCCCATTTGCATGTCTAGATCGATAAATCAGTACCAAGACCACAAAACTAAGCATCTTTTTTTTTTTTTCTTCTGCCTCCTTCAGGCATCTGGGACTTGAAATTTCCTTGTCAGCCTGAGCAAACCTTTGGTTTGGGTCTCAGCATTAACATGATTTTTAAAATAACCAAGTCTACATAAAATTTATAAAGCCTTATTAGCTTGTAAATCATTTTTAGATGCAAACATTATTGTGTGATTTAAACAAACAGCCCTTCTTTACAACAAAAAATAGTTTTGTTTTGTCTATTGTAAATCCTTATGCAACTGGGATGGTGATCTGCATATAAAGTAGTCCAGCTTTTCAATTCCTTATTAAAGCAATTGATGGCGTCTGAAAGAAACACACTGTTTCCTTTTCATAAATAGGTTACTGCACATAATAATCCTTTCTTATCATGCGGAGATTGAAGTGGATCCTGATAACTTACTATTAAAGCTTTAAATGACTAATAGTATATTGTCCGTCAATCTAAACAATCCTGTGATGGGCTTTCAATTAGAAATTACTTAAATCCAAATTATTTGGATTAATAATGACTGGTGCAAAATCGTTTATTTTCAAAACCATAGAAAGTAATTGTGTATATATAAATTTAAAGGGCATTCAGGGGGAAAAAAATGCCTTTAGCCACCTAAAATCTCTGAACAGCTATAGTGACAAACTAATGTGTTCATTCTTTGATTAGATCATAATGGCTATTGAAATCCATCAGATCAAACTTGAAAATGGTGGGCTCAAATGATCTACAACAGTTAATATGCAGAGAATTTACATTTCAGAGAAGAGGAGCTTAAATCCAGAGTGTTTTGGTCGTTGCATTTGAAGACAGCTCCTGGAATCCAGCTCCTCTTTGAGTGAAGTATACATATACAAGAGTTTCAAAAATCCTCTTGCGGCTGTTCTCATTTGGTGCAAGGATAAATACAGAAGACAGAGGTAGGTATTTTGGGAAGTATTATCAAGGCAAAGCAGTATACATATCCTAGTAAGATAGTTTGTAGGTTTAAATGATATGACTAGACCTACTGATGTGATTCTGCTTCAGTGTTTGTTCAGATTATCCTGAAAGTAGTCATTTCCGTAAAATGTCATCGTCCGTAAAAAACTCACCCATTCATCTCAGATAGAGATGGCTTACTGTTCATTTAGTTACATGCTTTTAAGAGGCCTCCTGGAAGAATCAGATTCATAAACACTCTGGTTTAACATTATGGTTTCATTCTAGAGTCTCATGCTTCTTAGATTTGTGTTTTATTTGCATTGGATTTCTCATTAGATTGTGGTTCAGACTTTTAAATTTCATTTAAAAGCACTATGCACCATATACTTGGAAGCTTTATTTTCTAATGCAATCACAAACGCTTTAAGTTCTATTAATGTATTAGCATCCCCACTGACTGTATTGTTTGGTTTTATCCACTCAAGGGATTTCAAACATTTTATTTTAGGATTTTTATTTTTATCTCCTACAGCTGGCTTTTGCTATTTCACGTTTATTTCACATGCAGCTTGTAATGGGTCTGAGTTTCGGCACAGAGAAATGGTTCCAGCTAACAGAACACACACTTCCCTGACCGGCAAATGGTCATGCCTTTTGATTCTAGCTCTTAAATAGTAGCTTTACTGTTGCCAAATGTAACAGTCATTCGCTCCATGTTGAAATGTTCTAAGCTAGCACTTCTTAGTCTGGACACAATTGCCAAGAGTTTAATTTGGTTCTGGACTTTGGTGAACCTGTGTGCCTTGTCACTTCCCTCGAGCAGTTTGTGAGTAAGGAAATGACCCGTCAGTTTCCCCTACTTTGTCCTCTGATCTGTCAGTCGATTTAATTTTTTGAAGTATTTCCATGTCATCAAGGGCTCAACATTCTTAAAGATTTTATAAGGAAGTGTAAAAGGAATGAGAGAGGTTCTGTGATTTCTCAGACTCTAGAAATTCATTTCAATTGTACGTATTCCAGAAACATACTGGATTGGATATTAAGAAAGCCTTCCAGACAAGTCTCCCTATCTAATCATTTCTCCATCCATCCATCCATTCATTCATTCCATAAATATTTCCTGAGTGCTTGCTTCCTAGGTGCCAGGCTCTATGCTGAGGGACTCAGCGATATAGTGGACAGGATCTCTGTCCCACTCCTTCGCCCCCACCCATGGCAGGGAGTTTAGTGCTAATATAGGAGTACCTTACCTGAACGAGTCATCAAGTCAGTCGTGGAGACAGTAATCCAACACGGGAGTTGAGTGTTACAGGTGATTCTGTACAATGAATTCCACGGATCATTGATAGACTAGCTACAGTATAGCCATCATTAACCTCTCTTTAGAATTACACAGCTAAAATGGAAAAAATCCTATAAAAATAAAATGAATTTCTACAGAATGAGATAGGGCCCACTATTCCGGCCGGAAGTGACTTCTACATAGTAAAGCTGAGTCCCCAGACTGTAAATAGAAAATCACAGATGTAATTGTGTTACATGTTTTGGAGACAATATTTACTTTCTATTTCCGTGACTTAAAAGAAAACACTTCGGCTACAGTGTCTTTTACCGACACAATCAGACACCTAGATCCTGAGAGAGAAAAGTAAGAACTGTACATAGGTGTGCTTCGCTTCTCACCGTGATTGTGCACAAAGTCACGTGTCAATTGAAATTTTGTAAATCAAATGGTATTTCAAATGCATTAGGGGAGCTGCCATTTAGAGGGAACTTGTGAATCCTTTTATAAAACAGAAAACCATTTTATAAAACCAATAATCACTCTAATTTATCTGTTTTGTATGTCTGGGTTTTCAATATCGACTTTGCTTAAAACAGAGCGTACCTGTATAGTGAGTGTGCTCTGCCAGTGCTGCTTGTGCCACCAGTTTCTTGGTTGCTAAGGGCTCATACTTGAAAATTTCTGCTGTAGTTTTGTGTGAACTGAGCTATCAGCGATTCAAAGATGGCGCAGGAGCATTCCTGAGCGGTCCAAGTGGCCCACGCATTTCAACCCAGTTGGACACTGGACCTCTTCTGCTCAGCAGCGGCTCCTCTCCGATGTGGCCACGTTTCATTAGAGGGTGGAGTGACTCCTGTTTTCACATCCTCTAAAGTGCTTAGAGTCCCAAGTTTTATATTACATATATGTTATTATGTAAACATATCGAATTGCATGTGTGTTGGAATTTTTTAGCAGAATTTTAGCTTGAAAGTACTTGTACAAACACTGTTAGATTTAGTTGCAAATAATTGTTCTCAAGTTATTGGAATAAATGGCAAATGAAACAAGCTCTGGTGTAAATAGAGTTCTGTGCCAAATAGTGACATTGTTTCAAAAAAGAAATGTCATATATTGGGCTGTTAATAGGCAAAATGAAATACTAGAAATGTGAACAAATGATACTGTGTTTCCTTGGATAAACTGTTTACTGATTTCATGCTGTAGTTAGCTTTCAGTTAATAAATAAAATTCACTACAAATGAGTATTTGAATTAGTTAGAAAAATTCTTTAGAACTATGAGAGGAATTAATGACAAAGTGTTAGTGGGACCATCTTCTTTGCCCTGATTTATTCTGCTTCAGTGTTTGCAAATTAAACTCTTCTAGTCTCTATATGACTATAATTTACATTAAAAAGGGTAAAATGAGCTTTCTAAAGACATACTGACAATTTTCCATGAATGTCCATCAGTATCAGACTTAAAACATTAAAAGTAGGGCCTCCCCGGTGGCGCAGCGGTTGAGCGCTGGGTTGCGAAGCTGCCCGCAGCCTCTGCGGCGCCGGTTCGATCCCCGGCTGCTCCCCGGCCACCGGAGGAGGGTCCCGCATGGCTCACGGACCTCTCCTGCCGCCCGCTGCTCCCCTCAGCAGTGTACTTCGGTCCCTCTGCCTGCTCTGCTCCCCGCTCTGGCTCTGGTGAATTCTCTCACCCTCCCGCGCTTCTGACTGTACCCAGTGCTTGTATAAATAAATAAATAAATAAATCTTAAAAAAAAAAACAAAAACATTAAAAGTAAAATGAACAAAAAAGAGGCAATTCAGAGATGTCTCTGGATTCGGCTCCCCCCCCCCCCAGCACACACACCAACCCACACCAGATCCAACCAAATTTCATTGCAAAATTCTACCACCCTACATGACTTGATAAATTTTTATAAGCGGCAGATCACTATGCAAATTCAAGGACTAGAAATTATTAATTCATTAATGGAGATGTTAACACTATAATCCCAATGTCTAAAGTTAAAACTATTAGTAAGAGAGAGATGCATCGCTGTAATTATGGCGGTAGCTTAGCAAAGCAACTTTTTTGGCTCTGTGCATTTGGTTAAAGATGAGAATATATTTACTAGGTATCCTCTCCCACATGTATAAACAATAAAGGACTTGAGATTCCTGGGGTGGACATGAGGGCTTGAAACAAATTATCCTCTCTTGAGATTATTAATTTCCTCTATGCACAATAGTTTA